AAAAAAAAAAGTAAATTACTTTTATGCAGAATTTTACCATCTGTAAAAATGAATTTGGACTGGTTTCCAACCATTTGACAGGTTCATGTTCATGTAGTTACTTGTAATCCCATTTTGCTTGCAACATATTAAAAAGATCAAGAATACGAAACCAAGAGAAATCTATCAGTTCTTCTTTCCACACTAACTGCACCTACTTGGGTGTAAATACCACATGGGCTTCAGTTTAAAATACCCTCCTTTGATCGCAGTTAATTTCGTTAGAATGTGCATTCTACAGGATTTTCATAAATACTGGCTGTTATTGTCATTATCACTATTTTTTCATCAGACAAAAAAGCATGAAATGTGTGGATTGAGTCATCACAGACAAGACGTGATTGCCATAGGAGAATGCATGCACATTTGATTTTGTGTGTGTTTGTATTTACAGTGTATGTGTGTATGTGTGTATGTGCTGTATTTCCTGTGTGGAAAGCTCATACAAACGGTTACCTTCAACTCTGTGAGATGAAAAAATCTGTCTCTGGCATGTGAATCCAATTCAAAACCCATAAAATATCACAAATGCAGAGCTGACAAGCTGGTATTGTCCCTCTTCTTGTGCATCATATTTTGCAGGATGGGCAGAATCCTTCCAACGGCAGTGTCGCAGATAAAACCAGCGGCTATGACATCGGCGAGCTGGCCACCTCCTCTTTGATGGGTGAGATGGACACACACACACACACACACACACACACACACAGATCTAGTTCATGTTGTGTTTCATTAGGAATCAAACATATGAGACTGGGAAAAAAGCAAGCTGGGAAATTGCATCAGTAACCATGGGAGGTTAGTAATGTAATTTCCCTCCTCCTCCGTGCCCTTTCTCTCTCACACATGCTGCAACACCAATAAACCCTGGCAAACATGAGTAAACAATCAGGTACAACACACATTTCCATCTCCCATTTAATTTTATTCTCTACTTTTGAGTCTAGCTTCCTCTTCTCTTCATGTTGGTTGCCTCCTGATCTTTTTCATCCCCATTGCCCCATCCTGTGTCTGTCTGCCTCATCTAGACTGCGTCCCTCCTTCTTAGGAGGAGGTTAATTATCTGAGTTAAAGTGTTATGCCTTGTTAAGCTTTTCCCAGTGAAAGCTCCTTTATGACCCTGACAGTATAATTATGAATATGTTAGACAAATACAGACATACAGGCAGAAGACTGAGAGGCTGACACTGCTTTGAGAGTGGCAGAATCAGTCCAGAAAATAAAAATAAAAAAGCTTTTCAGCATTTACTGAGACTTAATCACTTGTCAGTCATGTTCAGTTGGGCAGTCACAAAGTGCAGCTGACAACCTAACCGTGCAAATCAGATCACACTGTGAAAATATTATTGTACAAATATAATTATATACATTTATTATCCTTGTATGATGCTGTTTGATAGATATATCAAGCTGATGTGATTATATTAACAGTAAATGGCTAAAGGCCCGCAGGCAGCCCCTAGAAACTGAAATGTTCATTAAATTTCACAAATGCAACAGTGTTGGACGGAACAAATTAACAGTTGTGTTAATCTAACAGCCTGGTGGGACTAAATATGAGTATACTGATAAGAATATGGGAAAACAAATTAACTGTATCTTTTAGGAATTGTCGGTCGTATAAATCCCACACAGTTTTTCACCCCAGCTTTGATTTCCTTTGGGTTTTTTATTTTATTGTTTCAATCCACCGCTGCTTGAAATCAACACTAGTCGCTTGCCAACTGGCAAATTACAGCATTTATCAATTTCACCCCCTTTAGGATGTGATTAAATGTTATTTTCTAGAATGATTCCCATGTTGGCTTTTAAATAACAAAGCTCTGAATACAGCTCCTACAGGTTTCATAACATCCCGTGTTTGTTCATCTGTCTGTGTTTGTTTATCCTCTCTGTTTCCTGACAATGTAAAGCCAGGAGTCATGCTTCACATAATGTAATATATGTCTATTTTTATGAAGTGACTTCTACCTGACTGACTCTGGTTACTTTATTAAAAGTGTAACTATGTGTTTACTGTAGCAACAAAACCAATCATTTCTGACAGCAACCAAGTAAACTCAGGTGATCTATAGACAGTCTTGTCTGCTTGGAAATGTTGACCATGGTGGTCACAGTCATCACATCTTGGTTTCACTTTCAATAAGAGCTATTGTAATTGAATATTATTATTATATATATTGTGATGAATCCGTCGGCTGCTGTTTATCACACACACTGTGTTTTTTCACTAAATATGATTTTGTTTCCAGAGCTCCACACACACCCCAACCAAAACAGATTGTTTTATTGAGTGAATTATGACCTGACTCTTCAGTTCCCCTGAGCTGCAGCGTTTTAGTTGCTTTAAGCTCATTGTTTTGGTATTACTGTCTTTACAACCACTTTGATTTTGGTAGCTTGATGAAAGCACAGAAGGCAGTTTTCAGCAAAAACCTTGGATTAACCATACACTACCAAAAAGATTTTAATACATCCATTAAAACATTATAAAATCCAACATAAGAGCGCCATCAGGCTTGCACAGTTAGTCAAACAGTCACTGTTTGTCAGCCTCCTCGGGTGCTGACAGTGTCTTTAATACTATTTGTTACAAATTAACAGAGAAATCTTAACTTATTCTGACTATTCTGTGGGGTGCTATGTCAACCTAATATGATTTGGTCTATTTAACACTGCAGTGTGGACTGTAAGCCCAAAATATCCAATTTGAAAAACAAATGGGATTTTCCAGCTGCACATAACTTAAATAGATGCAAACATAGCTTCCTCCCCATCGACAGTCAGCCAGAACTAAGCCTCACAACAGTGTCGTCATAGTGTGAACGCAGGGTGAGACAGCAGTGGGTGTTACTGTGCAACAAAACAACAGTCTCTAGGTGTTGAGAGCAAATGAAAAAAACATGTTGGGATGTTTTTCTCCGTTTCAATTAGTGCAGGCTGCCAGATCTCATGACTCCTTTCTTTTATTTAACTCTATCACATCTCCACTCCTGCTTCTTGTTTTTCTCATCCTAAAGCTTGCCACCCTGTCCTCCTCTCTTTCTGGTCTTGGTGTCCTGCTTACTTTAACCTTTCCTACTTGTTCTTTTTCTCAAACTTTGCCTTTTCAACCTTTCATTTTATGTCCTTTTACATCTGTTAAATTTACCTGTTCTACAATATGACCTTGGCTTGCTGTCACTTTTACTTTATAACTCTTTATTTCCCTGGACCTTTCTAGCCTTGTCTCTTGTGATTAAAATAAATTATGCCATCTTTGTAGTTTTGTCCAGTGATTCTACTGGTTATGAATAACATATTACTGCAGAGCTGCAGGGACACAACACCTCTATTAGATGCTGCTTGACAAGAGTCCATTTGGAAAAACAGAGCAGTACATTTCAGGTTTGGATTTGAGTCACAATAATTAGATTTGACTTTGATTTGACTGCTGAGACTCAACTTAATTAAGAGTGCCTGAACTCTTGAACTAACTTGAAAGTTAAATAAAAACAAATTAGATTGTGTCTTAAGTTTTGACCTGATGAAATCCCAGAATAAAAAAACAGCTTGGATGTTTTCAGACAAAACATGAAGCAAATTCAAGTGCAAGAGCCTATGGAGAGACGCAGGTGCACAACTAGCTTACAACTAATGTCTGTACAGTTGTTACACTGCTGTTTGCAGCCAATCAACACTGACTGCACAAACAGTAAGGCAAAAGAGGCAAAAGCAAACATTTGCTTCAGTTTCAATCTGTACACACCTGTAGACCTATGTACTGAAAGGACTCCTGTGTAACATGTTAAAGTAAAAGCTGTGTAATTATAAAAGTCAGCATTTAGAAACCTGAAGGACTTGCAACTGACTTGCAATTTCCTCATGAAGCCTTGTGACTTGACTTTGTCCCCAAAGACTTCAAAACAGGTTTTATCAGGCTTTTTGTTAAAACTGTCATAACTGATATGGCTATTAAAACTACAAAATAAGAATGAAGTTGTTTCATGTTGTGTCCTTTACAAATGGAAATTTTATTGAATAATTTGTTGTTGTTGGTTTTTTATCAAGATATAACATGTATTTTCATTTGGTTTTCTATCCAAGTGAGCTTCATACAGTGCTGTAGAAGTGTAGAAGAACTATGATAGAAGTAATGTCAGTAATAAACAATAAAATGTACAATTTTCTCCTAAATCACCTTAAATGCTGTTATACTCTCATTTTTAATCTTCCCCAATGTGTTTTCTGTGGAACTCTACATCAGTGCCTCTTTCATGCTTCAGGTTATGCTAATCAGGAGTCCTTCAAAGCCTGAATGAATGCAGAGTTTCTTCTCAAGTATAACCATGTCATGACTTCTCTCCCTCAGTGTGTCTCTTCTTTCTATTTCCATATCCCTGTCCCTTACTGTGGCATTTATTTGCCCTTCTCTTCCTTTCTATCACCTATACTGTTTACCCTTTATCTAATCCACTTTATCAAGATGTATCTCACCCCCTCCTCCTCCTCATTTAGGTCTGGTGGCCACGATAAAGGAACATATCACCAAGCCGACGGCGATGGCCCAGGGGCGAGTTGCTCACCTCATTGAGTGGAAGGGTTGGGGTGGAGGTGGTGAGGCCAGTGGAGGCAGGGGAGGTTGGAGCGGGGGCTGGGGTAAAGGAGGTGGAGGCTGGGGGGGAATGGGGGCCGAGCTGCAGGAGGATGAACAATTCTACTCCCAAATGACGGATGAGATCAAGGAAGCTCGCTTCGCTGCAGGTAAGACAGACGGATGAATTTCATAAGAAAAACAAGATGTGGTCAGTGGAGATGAAGTGATGCTCAGATCCCTGGGGGCATTGTTTTTTGTTCGATTGGCTGGTACTGAGGGAGCGTCTACAGAAATCAATAGCCCTTATCACGTCCCATGACAGTGACTCAAATCTAGCACTCTTATTCGATTTCCCTATGTTTGTGACGGCAGTAGACTTAGTGAAAAACAACAGGGCTTCTGGGAAAAGCTATGTAAAATCTGTTTATGTGCCTTTTGTTTCACAGGAGTAGCAGAGCAGTTTGCCCTGGCTGAGGCAGCCATGAATGTGTGGTCCATGAATGACAGCTTAGAGCAGCCCTCCACCAGCTTGCAAGGTTTGTTTATGTAAAGGATCACATGTGTCTGAAATGTCTCTTTTACTCTATTGCAAAAACTTCTTCTCTACTTCATCTGCTGTGACCAAATAAAAATGAACCAAAAGATTAAAACAACAAGGTAATAAGGCTTTTCAACTGTAATAGTATCTGTCTGGATTTGGCTGATTATAATCTCTAAATCCTTATTTTACCGTGAAGTCTCTCATTTCTTGGCATCACAGATTCCATCCCTATTAATTAAGACGGCACTAATCAGCCCTATTTGCTGAAACCCACAGGAGTGGTTGAATCATGAGCACGATGTGTGCAGTTTATATCACTTTCAGATGTTTTGGGTTTTTTATTCAGATTTTAACCACACTAAAGGCATTGCTGGACTTTTGTTTTATGCTCTTGCCCAGTCCACTAATTAAAATGTGCACACACATTCATGGTCTCCAGAGGATGAATCCTGTTGACTTTGGCAATGGCATGACTTGTCATCAAGCATAAATAAATGGTCAAAATTTCTTCCATATGACCGTCTCTGCCTGTCATATAATTGTTGTCCATAGCTAGAAAGCAAGAAAGCAAAACAAAGAAAGAAAACATCTTTCTCATGGTTTATTCATTTCCCACCTTTCATCCCACCTAAGGTAAACACAGCATCAGTGCAGCAGAGTTTGAGCTTCTAAAATTGCCCACATATGAGAGAGATACCATTGATTTAGGTAACAGCAAGTAATTTCCACTAGTGACACCCTTAGGTCTTTACTGTGGTACCGTACTAGTGGTAGCATTTTCTAATGTCCAGTGATATTATGACATTATAGGACATCTAGCCTGGCTAGAGATGTTTAGTGCACCAAATTCACCAAGTGAATTGTACTCACCAGAAGAGTACTGGCACATTTTATTTTTGCCCACATGAGCACCCATACTCCTCATTGTGTAGCAGTACCCCACCCCTGACTGTACAAATGGAC